ATAGTGGTTCATGCCTGAAGCCCCAGAACTGAGGCTGGAGAGATGGCTCAGCGGTTTAGGAGTGCTCGCTGCTCTTCCAGAAGACCTAGGTTCTGTTCCTGGCACACATTCACAAGCCCCTGTAACTCCAGCAGCAGTGGATCTGGTGCCCTCTTCTGGTCACCTCATGAAACTGCACTCTAGCAAAGACATGCATATGGTTAATTTAATTAGATTTTATATAAGACACTAAACATAAATAAAACTAGATCTTAAAAAAATTTCACCACTGGAGAGATGGCTCAGTGGTTAAGAGCACTGGCTGCTCCAGGGTACCCAGGTTCAATTCCCAGCACCCACATGGCAACTCACAGCTGTCTGTAATTCCAGTTCCAGAGGATCTGACACCCTCACACAGACATACATGCAGGCAAAACATGAATACATGTAAAAATAAAGTCTTTGCCAGGCAATGGTAGCACACACCTTTAATCCCAGCACTTGGGAGGCAGAGGCAGGTGGATCTCAGTGAATGAATTTGAGGCTAGCCTGGTCTACAAAGCAAGTTTCAGGACTGCCAGGGCTACACAGAGAAACCCTGTCTCAAAACAACAACAACAACAACAACAAAACCAACAAAACAAAAACCCAAATTCTCATGATTCTAAGTATAGTGACTCAGGCCTTTAACCCCAGTCCTGTAAATGATGAGGCAGGAAAACCTATAGGTTCAGGCTAGCCTGGGCTACATAGCAAGACCAAACAAAACAAAGACTGAACATGAGGTTCAGTGATAGAAGGTTTGCCTAGAATAAACCAGTGAGGGGTTGGGGCATGGCTTCAAAGTAAAGCCCTTGCCCAGAACACGCCATGTGCTGGTTTCAGTCCCCAGAGCTACAGTAATAATGGACAATAAATGAACGGCCATGTCCAGATGAATCCTCAGTTCACTCTTAGCTGTAGAAGGATGAAGGCCAAAAGTCAGGGTGACCAAGCAACTGGAGAACTGGGCAGGCATCCAAAATTGGAAAGGATAACATGATGACCCACCTTTAATCCCAACCCTGGAGAGGCAGAGGCAGGTGGATATCTGTGAGTTCCAGGCTTCCTGGTTGACATAGTGAATTCCGGGACAGCCAGGGCTATGTAGAGAGACCATATCTAAAAAAAGAAAGGAAGGAAGGAAGGAAGGAAGACAGACAGTGGTGGCACATGTCTTTAATCCCAGTTCTTGGGAGGCAGAGGCATGCAGATCTCAGTAAATTTGAGGCCAGCCTGGTCTACAAAGCAGCGAATTCCAGGACAGCCAGGGCTATACAGAGAAATCCTGTCTTGAGAAACTAAAAAAAAAAAAAAAAAAAAAAAAAAAAAAAAAAAAAAAAAAAG